TGCACCCTGACTCAATGTCCTGTACCGACTCGTTCATTCATTGAATCGGGTTTATTCATTTATTCATTGAAGCTTTGCCAAACATTCCATTTATTGTTTCCTCAGAGTCCGAAACTGCCAAAGTCTTTACTTGAGAACTTGAATGGCAAAGAGTTTTGATCCCTAAATTGGGGGACATGGACATACTAGAAGAATGAAAATGGCAGGGAGATGGGTGGCTGTTGAATAAGTAACCCCAACACTTACTTGCAAAAGTATTCTACCGTTGCACTCGTCCTGTTTCATAACAATGGGATTTTCCCCCAGTTTCTGCACTTTTTAGCTTGGCACCAAAATTGTTCTCAGTTCACTTGGCCAAGGGGTGAAAATAAGCAGGGGGATGCCAAATTTTAATATTAAGCTAAGCTTGTTCGTATTCTTCTGCAGCATTTGGGACTTTCTTGACAAAACCCAAGCCGAGACCCGAAGCTCTCCCCCCTTAATATCTCTGCGTGTGCTGGGCCAAAAGTTTTTATCTACAGCCAAATAGTTCTGGACTATTTCTCCATCAATTTTATTGGTAATACTTAGACAAAACTTTATCCACATTGCACATCGAGGGAGACAGCGAGAGAATCAGCTGAGCCTTAAGTGAAAGGATTCGAAGCGTAAAAGTTTGTTGGATGAGTTCCTTTTTTCTTAGTTTTTGAGAGAATTAGAGAAGCGTTTTGTACATCAATTTCATGTCTTTGCTTTTCTTTTTAATAAATTCCCGAAAAATACTTTCAACTTCTGAGTAGATGCTTGATAAACTAATAAAATGAGTTCCCAAACGCTCGTCGTCGGCTTAATTGTAATTACTTTTTGGCAAAAGCCGAGGCTGTCTGTCTCCTCCGGTCCACCACTCCGCCATTCCGCCACTCGCTGGTTGTGTAAAAAGTTTTGCCAACTTGTAATTATCACTTACAACATGGAGCTGGCTACGCCGCCCCCGTTCCGCCCAATTTTCATTCCATTTCCCCCATTTTCCAGGTTTAACAAAACTGACAACCACAAAGGCGAAACTCCGGGGTGTGAGCTGGAGGCTCCGCCCACACACATGCAGCTTAATTAATAGACATCACAAAGTGCCGCTCCCGTTGGAGGGGTAATCACCTCAGCAGCCCCCCAAAGCCCGGTCACCAGCCCCGCAACTCCAAGCCCGATTCCAAGCTCCGTGTTGGCATGATGTAGTACGATTCTGGCCACAATAATAATTTACATTTTAAGCCAATTTGAAAATGGCCGAAAAAAAGAGCATTTCCATTTTCACAGTTAAATAAAAATTAATTACAACAATTTATCGTCGTCGTCGCAGCAGCCACAAAAAATGTTCCTCAAAATTGGGGTCTTAAGATTCGACTAAATAATTACCCTGGATTAGTAAAGTAGTTAAAATTTATTATCTAAAATAATTCTTAATATTTCTAAAGGGAATCATAAAAAAGTATAGTCTTTAGTACTTTTCTTTAGTTATTAATATGATTTTATAATAAAAAATAATTAAAAATCAAGCAAAAAATTGTTTTAAAATCATAATGTTATTTATAGATCATCCTTAATAATAAATTCAAAATTAATATCCCCCATCTTATCGTCAAAACACCTCTTCTAGGGTACAAAACGTAACGAATTACAAGGAGTACAACCCCTTAGGACAACTGTCCAATTTGGAAGCACCCCCTGTGTCCCCTAGTACTCTTCTTAACCCCATAATACCCCAAATGCTTCATCGTAATGTGCGGCTTGTTGTTGTTAAATGTCGGCTAAAACGCAAATGTTAAACCCTTTCGTTAATGCAAAATAATTGCTACGGTTCGTGGTCCGAGTTTTCCGAGTTCCGTTCCTAAAAAAAAAACAACAAAAAATTTTCAAAAAAAAAATAAAAGTAAAACGTCAAAACGGTATTTTATTCTTTCCCTATCCCTCGCTTTTCCTTTCCCTGACCCTTTCAATTTTCTACTCTTTTTTCCGGCACTGGTTGGGTTAAAAATTAGAGCGACGTTGGCCAGAAAAAAAGTGAAAAAGTGGGCGTGTGCCGAGTTCCGTTTCATTTAGTTTTCAGTTTCCACCTAATTTACCCAATTGGGCAAAAGTGCTTTGTCATAATCAGGCCGGGAGCAAGGTTCGCATATCTAATGAATGAATAGAATGCCCGGAGAGGATCCGGCCCCATAAAGCAAACTTTCCATGAATGGCATCGGCTGGGGTCCCTCCGCCGGGCACATATTTATCGAGTTGCTAATAGGCTGTCACATAATTAGCTCTTTCTAACAACCAAAATCGGACTGACGACCTTCCTTTGAGCCAAAAGCAAAAAAAAAAAGGTATCAAAAGACGATGGAAGGGTGAAATTACTGGCATTAGCCCTGGCTTAGTGGAAAGTCAAAGATGGCCAGAAACGATAATGTCTAAGGATGTCCGAATGCATCTTGGGCTTGTCGGGGCTCCTGGCCTTGTTCCGATTGGGTTAAAGATTAAGATGGTCTTTGTTTTGCGGAAACAATCTAATCTTTAAAGCAGTTGGGTGTGTTTATTTCAAATCAAGATTCCGAGTGACTGATGGAGTTGAAGGACAAGAGCGAGTGAAAGGGTGTCTAAAAGTTTGGACAGTAAGGAGGTTGTTGTTGGGGTTTTATTGGATTAATTTTATTATGCATACAAGACATTAAAAATATACACAATAAAGTAAGAAACTCCTTTTCTGCTAAAATGTAAATCACTCCTCTAGGAAATCAGTGCTAACTCTGAAAAAATACTACTCTAAATATTCGGGGCATAGACAGATTTTCCCCTTGGGCAGTCGGATTTTTAACCCATCCCTACCTGAGGGTCACTCGCATCAATTTCTGCTTGTTGAATGCCTGTAGGGCCTCCCTGGCCTCCCAACCCTCATCATTCCTAATCAAGCTATAGGGAAGGCAGATATCGAACAAAATATACGTCTAATGCGGCTTCCCTAAGGTCGCATTAAAAATCAACCGGAATTGACTTTGAAAAATGGTGTGAAAAACGCAGGGGAACCCGTAACAGGATTTGCGAAAAAAACACAGTTCGCATTAAACGCATTTTGCATGACTGTGTTGCAATTAACGATGGAGAGCAGCTGCAATCAGGCGCTGCCACCAATCATACATATATAAACGTGTACGGGGCAAGCGATTCGATGATTATTGTTTCAACGCCTCAACGATTCTGACATTTTTTGTCGATCGCGTTTTATTTATTTTTTTTGGTTTGAAAAATGGTTACAAAAAAGCAGGCAGGACGAGGTGGGGGAACAATCATCAGGCAAATATTTACCGCCATTGGGCAAATGCTGAAATGCAAACGCTGAGTCCAGTTGGCCATGTTGTAAGTTGACCATGAGAGATGATGGCCAGAACGGCGATGATTGCTATGGCTCCGCCAAGCGAATATACATATATGTGGATGTATGTATGTGGCAATGGTCAATGCTAATTGCCAATTATGGACAAATTCATTCGAGCGCGAAATTAAATTAACCCCTTTTTGTGCTGACCCTCCCAGTAGAAACACAGAAACAGTCACAGAGATACAAAAACAGCAACATCGAGCTGAACTGAGATGAACAAAAATCCGCATGGAAATCCTCAACCGCGCCATCAATCAGGAGCACAGGCGACAAAACACAAACTACGCGATGTGCAAATATGAAATATTTATGGCCACATATCTGCCTGAATTGTAGCCGAGAATGTGGGGGGATTCTCGAATTGGCTGCGGCCTTTGCACTAACGAACAAATTAATAGTGGCCAGCGCAATTAGTCCCCTCTATTTAAAGACCTTAATGGGTTGTCACTAAGAGTACCCATCTTCTTTAAACTTAAATGCAACTTCTACGGAATAGCAGAGAAGCCCTACAAGAGATAGTACCTAACTTGTTGGCCCATTAATGCCAACATATCGATGTGTAATTATACAGACTGAAAAGTTTATTGAAAAGCACAAAGGCAAATGGATCTGGAGCAAAAACTGAGGCCCCATAATGCCCCAAATGAGTTAAGTGGCCAACAGAATCGGAATTATTGTATCCCGCAACCATGGCCCATCAAAGTATTAAATATAATACAATTTTGTGATAGTTTTCCCTTCGCGGGCGCTGCCAATGTAATTTCGTTTCGTTTTTGTCGCGATTTTTATGGCACAGGAAGTGCTGTCGAGTGTAAAAAATAATAACACGCATCGCGTCAGATTTTCCATGTTTGGTTATGATAATGGAAAGCACAATGGACGCCTCTGGATATATCCTTTTTATGGCGGAGCTCGTGTGGTTTTGCTGATGTCAGACAGGACTTTTCAGGCGCATGACACTGGCACATGGGTATTGTGGTTTATAAATGATTCACAAAACTGTACGTATTGTCTTAACGCATCAAAGGCAATCTTTGTCACAGGAAGCAATGAATTCGATTTCAGGGCTCAGCAGGAGGCCTCGAAAGGGTAAAAAATATACAACAAAATCTGCAGACATAATGATACTCATGCTTTTTTTGAGGCAGTAAAATACAAACATACAAGACTATTTCGTAAAAACTTATGAAATATTAAAGGAGATGGTTACTTTTTTTCCAATTTTTTATAAAGCTACAATTAAAATAATATGTAAAATAAATGATGGAAACAACTCTTAATACATGCTATTAATGGGTATAAAAAGAAAACAATGTGTATAATGGTTTTCTTACAAAAATGAAATTATTCTGTGAAACACGTTGTGAAATGAAAACACAAGTATCATCGATGTCTTGCTGCCATCACCTTTGTAATCAAATCTCTCGTGGTTTTTGATATGTAATTGGCCAAAACCATATGACGGTTCCCTGGGGCTTATTTGTGATTTTTGCCAACAACTTATCCTTGAAATAAATAAATAAAATACTTAAATGAAAACATAAGATTTCAGTATTCATTGCTTTAGCTGTCAAATGGTTTTCCTTTGTCTTTTTTGTCAAAAATTAAATTTAGTTCATTCGGATTGTGTAATCATGACAGTGACCTACACCTCCAGTGTGAGCACCTCGAGTGTTGTTAGCAATTTTTTGGGATTACTTCTAAGGTAAGAGCCATAAGTACAAGAACTCTAGTTTTATATCTAATTACCCATATTTTCTTTAAAGATGGCGTGGCAGTATTTACAAGCTTGTTTGGCATGATCTGTTGGCTTTTATGAGCTTGTACTTTCTTTTTGCCGTGGCCTATCGCTTTCTGATGAACGAAAATGGACAAAAGTAGGTTAAAATTTACAAATCTTGTAATTATTATTTCTAGACTGAAGTTACTCTTTTAATTTGTAGGCTTTTTGAGAATATTTCCGAGTATTGCACCCGAAATGTGGGACTCATACCGCTGTCTTTCGTGCTGGGCTTCTATGTGTCCATCGTGATGACTCGCTGGTGGGAACAGTACTCCACCATCCCATGGCCAGATCCGATAGCCATCTTGGTCAGCTCCAGTCTCCATGGCTACGATGACCGGGCCAGGGCTATGCGACGAACCATCCTGAGATACGTTTGCCTCTGCCAGGTGCTAGTTTTCAGCATGATTTCCCCTCGTGTTAAGCGTCGATTCCCCACCTACGACCAGTTCATTGAAGCTGGCTTTTTGCTGGAGAACGAAAGGACCATTATTGAAAATATGGATGCAGCTTTTCCCAAGTATCCGAAGCACTGGATGCCCATCGTGTGGGCCTCCAGTATTGTGATGAGGGCCAGAAGTGAAAACAAGATTCGTGATGACTACGCGGTAAAAACCATAATTGATGAATTGAACAAGTTTCGCGGATACTGCGGTTTTTTGCTCTACTACGACTGGGTCAGTGTGCCGGTGGTTTACACACAGGTTGTGACATTGGCAGTCTACTCCTTTTTCCTGTTCACTATCCTGGGACAACAGTGGACACAGAATGACCGCTCCCGTGTCGGGGAATCGGTTGTGAAGTGGTTCCCCTTCCTGACCATTTTGCAGTTTTTCTTCTACATGGGTTGGCTCAAAGTGGCAGAGGTTTTGATCAATCCCTTCGGTGAGGATGATGATGATTTTGAGGTAAGCTACAAACACCAATATTAAAAATATAAAATTTTATTGAGACTTTGTTTCGGTCAGCTTAATTGGATTATAGATCGGAATTTAACAATCTCGTACTTTGTGGTCGACGAAATGCATCAGGAGCATCCGGAGCTAGTGAAGGATCAGTATTGGGATGAAGTTTTTCCAAATGAATTGCCCTACAACGAGCCGAAAATGCGTTCCAGTCCTCCTGAAGCATCGACTGCCCACATAGAAACTGAATCAAAATCTCTAAAGGTATATGGTCAACCTTTTAAGTCATTTAAATAATAGTAGTGATTTATTTATTTGTCTTCAGGCAAAATCAAAGGGTTCGGCTGCGACAATGTCGGTTGCGAGCGAGCACAGTAACCTAAGCAGTAACCGTAGTCGCCATAAGAGATTCACCTCGAACTTCGTGCCAGGACCTTCTACCAGCGGAAGCTTCACAGACTCCTATTTCCTAAACATTGGACACTCGCGGGTGGTCTTCAGTGAGGATGTTATTGTTTCGGGACAGGAGACCCAGAGCTTAAACAGAGACTCTGAGAGTACACGTAAGTTGTAGTAACTTAGATAATTATTAATCTAATGAACCCCCCTGTTAGTAGTGGATTTCAATGAGCTGATGGAGCAACGTCGTCGGGAGCGCAGGGAGCGCTTGCGCCATCGCTTCATGGACATGCGTCAGGGAACCACACGCCGCGCCTCCTCGGGAGCTCCTTACAGGATCACTGTCCTTCGCCCCCCGTCCGCGGAAACAATGGCTCAAGAGCAGGTCGACAGCGAGGGTACCATAAAAGGTCCATCCAAGAAGCCTTCAGCCACCGAAAAGAAACCTGATGGGGAGAAATAATAGCCATTCCTTGATTTTTAACATGACAATTTGTATTTTATTATAAAATAAAAAATAATGATAAAATAATAAATAATAATAAAATAATAATAAAAAATTAGTATTATAAATAATAGAAATTGGTGTGTAGAAATTGGCTGTTGTAGCTCTTATCAGTCTGCAAAAGGTCCCCCATCCAAGAAGCCCTCAGCCACCGAAAAGAAACCTGATGAGGAGAAATAATAGCCATAACTTGATTTTTAAGATGAGAATCTGTATTTTATTATAAAATAGTAAATTCTACTCTTTATCCTCGTGATCTTTATCCTTTTCCTGGTCCTTATCCTTTTTGGTTTGGCTGGTGTAGCTCTTATCGGTCTGCACCTCCTGTCCTCGTTTTTTGGACGCTTCCGAGGCTTCAGAGGCGGATCCTTCTGAGCCGAGTTCGCTTCTTATTAGCTCCAAGGTTAGGGCGGCGTGCTGAATCTGACGGTCCATGCGCTGTTTCTCTCTCTCCACCTTGAGGAGCTCGAAGTCATCTTGGCTGGAGAACTGGCTCCCGAGTTCGTCTCCCTCCTCGTCGAGCATGTCAATGGTGTCGCCACCCAGGCTGTCTGAAATCGAAATGGAGCTGTTGCTGAACTTGAACTGGCGCGGGGCGAACCGGATCTTCAGCTCGTTGTCAGCCTCGTGCTCGGCATCAAAGTCGGTCCAGTCGGTTTCGTCACTCTTAGCGACAGTCGTGGAAGGATGGGGATGGGGTTTGGCCAGGGGCAACCTGGCGGTAGACGCCTCCGGATGCTCCGCCCTCTCGGCCTCCACCAGATAGGGCAGTTCGTTGGGGAACACCTCGTCCCAGTACTGATCCCTCACCAGCTGCGGGTGGTCGTTGTGCATCTCGTCCACGATTAGGTAACTGACTTGCAGATTTCGGTCGATCACCCAGTTGAGCTCGAAGTCGTCGTCGTCATCGCCGAAGGGACAAATCAGAGTTTCGGCCACCTTCAGCCAGCCCATAAAGAAGAAAAACTCCAGGGTGGAAAAGACTGGAAAGTAGTAGTTTACCATGTTCTGATAGTTCGCGGTTGTTGACTCTCTGTCGATCCACTGATGGCCAAAAATGGCGGCAAAGAAGTAGGTGTACACAGCCAGCGTAACAACCTTTAAAATAATTTAAAGATAGAGTTTTTTAAGAAAAAGGGGAAAAAATAATAGGAAATAAATCTCTAGCATAAGATGGAGCATAAGAGCATACCTGCGTGTAAACTAGCGGAACTGATATCATATCATAGTGAGTAAGCATATTACATCCGGATCGGAACTTGTTGAGCTCGTCAATCATGGATTTCAGTGAGAAATCGTCCCAAATACGTCCCTCCTTGCGAGCCCTCGTCACAATACTGCTGGCCCAAATAATGGGCATCCAGTACTTGGGATGCTTGGGAAACTTGACGTCCATAGCCTTGATAATATTGGCCTCGTTGGCATTCAGGAGACCCACTTCGATCAGCTGTTCGTAGGTCGGAAAGCGCCTTTTGATCACCGGCGAGATCATCGATAAGACCATGGTTAAGGCCAGGCACATGTAGCGCATAATTGTGCGTCTCATCAGGCGACCATGTTCGTCCTGACCCCGAACCAAGGCACTAACGTACACCGCCAAAGGATCAGGCCAGGGGACAGTAGTGTACTGACTCCACCAACGCTCCACGATGATGGAAACATAGAATCCCAGGACGAAGGAGAGAGGAATCATGTTGCCATAACTATGACAATACATCACAATGTCCTCGAAAATTCTAGAAATCAGTTTTAATTTAATAAAAAATACTTCCATTTCTGTACAAAAACTTACACTCTATCGCATTCTCTTAAAGCGAAACGGTACACGATAGCCATGAAGTAGAAACAAGTCAAGAACGTTAGGAGATCCACCCAAATAATCTTGTAGATGCTTGCGCGCCATCTGTTGATTTTGGCAAGGATGTAGGGCTGGCAGTAAAAGTCCTTCAAGCATATCCTTACCTGATCAAAAGTTTCCAGAAGCAACCGAAGCGACGACAAGTTGCAACCTCAGCGGTATACGAAACAGTCATTTTCGACAATCAATTGGAAAACTTTAATAATACTGGGCTGGTAAATCGGTTTGGCAATAGGAAGCACTTTGTGAGGCCATAAGCAAAGCCAACTTTGAAATTAGTTCTAGTCTTCGGTTTGGCCTGGGGGTAATTTTCTCACTCGAGCATTAAACGAAGGCAATTTGGTAGGCGCGTCACATTTTGTGGGCGTAATTATTTAAATTAGATCATTTATATTTGCCGCCAGGCCAACCGGCAACCATCAGCGCACAAAGGCCAATTTGCCACACGCTCTCACCCACTGCCACATGTGATAAAGTCGGCTCCATATCCTTCCACCTCTAGATCCTTTCTGTATATACATACATATATGTGGGATGTGTGTATATAGACGCCAGTCTGGTGGCATCAAGTAGGTGCAGTAAAATTTTAATACCCCAGCAAACATTCTGTGTGGATAAGGCGGCGATGCCGTGATTTTTCCCCCCCACTTGCCGCAGTGAAAGTGTGGCGAGCATTTGAAGTATCTTATCAGTATTTATTCGCTGTTGTTGATTGGGTTGATAGCACTCTTTTGGCCAATTCAGCAGTTTTCCAGGAAGGAAATAGGCGGCTAATGAGTTTTTCAAACACTCAATGCTACATTGGATAAACAAAAGAATAATTAAACCTTTTTAAGAATAATATTTCTTGTATCTTTTAATAGCTATCACTATTTCTAATAGAAATGTGCTTCTCAGTTGGCAATACACCTGCAGACTTTAGAAGTAGTGGATGAATAATAAGCTCATGACGCATAGAAATAAAACTTGGGTTTGGCTTAATAGCGTTTGTAATCAGTTTATAGATAATTTAATAACCGCTAACGATTGTGCTCTTTCATGGTTAACGACCGAATGTAGACCAGGGAAAATAATGGTACCTCTGAAGGTAAGAAATGAAAATCGCTGAAATTCCTAATGATAAAAAAAAGAGCTATAGCTATAGCTGAGGCTACGAAAACAATCGGAACAGATTTGTTTGAACGGCTTATCTGGCGTATCAGGGAATCATATCTGGAATTATGAAATAAAGTCATTCATTCACCTTCTTGAATCCACAAAGTTTACGTAATTGTAGATTTCAGCGAGATAACGAATTCCATACAGTGGGAATTGGTTAAGAAAAATGTATTGCAATCGTTAAGAAGCCAATTTCTTAATGAAAGAGAGCTTTCAGCTTAGATATGTGTATATATTATATTTTAGAATCAATACGAATTCCATCTCCAGTCATTGTATAGAGCGCATCGGAGCTTATCAACCGACTTAACCACTTCATAAAATCTACAAATTGACACTCGGCAGCTAACGACAATAATAACAACAACTAGACCAGCAACAACAACGGGCAAAATAAAAAACAGAAACAATATGAAGAAGACGAGCATTTATAATTGTGTTCGCCAGTGCGATATTGTTGCATTCCCCGCTATATATTTTTTTTTAGCAGCCAGCTCCCGCTCTCTCGTTCGTATATAGCGGCCAGAATATTATCTTACACTTTCAGTTAACGTTATACACCGAAACCGTCAACAAGCGAACAGAGACAGCCACAACGGGTGCGAGTGGGACAGACGCGGGTGCGGGGGAGTGAAACAAATGTTACGTTAAAATCTAAAGCCAAAATACGGCAGATCGGAAATGAAGTGAAAACACAACAAGACCAACATAGTCCTTATCTGAGAAAACATAAATAACAGAATTTGGGAATTGCCGAGTTAGTGGTAGAGTGTATGTGTTTGTGTACAAAAATCAGTTGTTCCCATATCGCAAAGATCATAAAACCGAAAGTAGGCACCCACCAACTAAAAACAACAATAGAAGCAATATCAAAACACAGCAGCACCACCAACTATAATGCGACGTCACACAGTGTGATTCAGCCTCCGTCTTTCTCTTTCCTCACAGTCGCCCCCTGTCTACCTCCCTCCCAATCACTCCCTCGTGCACCTGCTAATTTTTTATTTTTGTTGTCGCTCTAATTACAACTCAGATCATCTACTGATCCCGCCGACCCCCCTCCGCCAGCCGGCCCGGGCCTTATCTTCCAGAAATCCATCCGAATCGGCATCGTCTTTCGTCTCTTATCAGTTTCCAGCTTCGTGTGTGCACTGGGAGAAATTATTGTGTGTCATTTTTGAGAATCAGAAGGTTAATATTATAATAAATTTATAGTAAATAAATTATAAATTAATTATTAGCTGAACAGTAGCAAAACAGTGTTTTAATATTTCAAAAGTAAAGTGAAAATAAAAATTTATTCAAGTATGTGTACAATGTACATTAACAATAACTAAATTAATAAAATATTTAAATTGTTTATCAACAATATATTTTTTAAAAGTAAGAGTAGCATTTTTTTATAATAATTTTTAATAATGCTTTCAAAAACATTGTAGAAGCCTTTCAAAAGGAAACATTACATGCGTAATATTACGTATACGCCTTGGAAGATATGTTATTTGGTGAATCTTTCAAACAATTTCTCATATATTTTAATATTTTAAATATATTATTATTTTTATTTCTGCTTTATAATGTTAAAAAAATAAAAAATCTATAAAATTAAAAAAAAAGACAAATACATTTTAAAATTTAAAAAAAAGATTTAAATAAATTTCCAAAAACTTTATTACTTACCGTTTACTTCCCGGTTACCGAAATCTTACCGTTTATAAAAAAAAACTATAAAGTGTATATAAATATAACGATTATTTTTGATTACTCTGTAAGCAACTTCCTACACTTTATATTTTTTTCAGTCAAATATTTCTCAAAGTGCACCCGTTCGGTACGCCAATGCCTCACGGCCGCTGTCGGCGGACTGTGGAGGTGGTGCGGATCCCGCTCCCTGGACTGGTGGTCTTATCTTTGGAGGAGGACCCGAAGGTTTTGCGGCTGTAACGCGACAACCTGCAGCCGGCGGCGAAGAAGGCAGCGAAACGGCAGCGCAGACGCTCCCAGATCGCCAAGAATGTCAGTCACTCGTTTGTTGTCCGTTTTTTATTGTTTGGTGTGAACGAGAATTAATAATAGGCTTACAATTCATTAATAAGAATCAGACAAAGGCGAATCGAAAATATTTGCCCAAACTGCACTGGCACAATAAAAACTGCTACATAAAAAGGGGAAAACAGGCCCCAGAAGCGAGAAAAACAATCAGAAAGTTGGTGAGTCAATTATATAAAATAAAAACAGCATAAGTTTTCGTTCGACAAGTCCAGCCGACTCTTACCTAGACCCACTTAATTATCTTTGTTAAGCAACACGAGCGAGAAAAATTATAAGGTATAATAATAGAAATGCAAACAAACTTGCAAAAGATACTACATATAGGCAAAAAGTTGAGCATCCGATTGTTATCAAAGAGTGTACAATTATTTTTTTCAACTTTTGGGCCTGGGTGTGGATAATTTTCTTAGTCACCTGTTGGGGCTGTAGAAAATATATGGATTTATGGCTAACAGAAAAGTTATATACTCCAGAAGATGAATAATAAAATTCAAGGATATACGACTTTCCTTAGATAATGAAATCATTTGTAGAAGAAGGATATTTAGGTAGAATATTAGACTCTGATGTGCAACCTTGAAGAAGGCCTTCAGAAACTTTTCCATTATAGACCAGACTTTCCAAAAACTCTCCCATGTACCGCTCCCCATGTAGAGATTACCTATACCCAATTCTAAGTGGAGCAATCGAGTTCAAACTCGCAGCTCACAATAGACTGGCCATTTACGATTACATTTTGAGCTCAATTATTTGCTTTGTATAATCGAGCGGGTCGTCACAAGATAAGACACCCGGACAATACGTAGATCGAAGTGCATTATGCATGATCTTGGCACAACCTAAGTCTATGCGAATATGGTTCTGCTCATTTCCAGAATTCCGAAGGTTTACTGACCCCATCACCACCCCAGCCCGCGAGACACGAAGGAGATGGTTCGCCAGATCTCCCCGTGGAAGGTTCTCACCCGACGCAAGCACCTCCAGGCCGATGGCAACGAGGGGGAGACGAAGCTCAATCGGGTGCTGGGTCTCTGGGACCTCACGGCCCTCGGCGTTGGCTCGACCCTGGGAGCTGGGGTCTATGTCCTGGCCGGACAGATAGCCAAGGATCAGGCGGGTCCCTCGGTGATGATATCGTTTGCCATTGCGGCCCTGGCCTCCCTGCTGGCGGGTGAGTTTGATAGCTGCGGCTACAGTGTTGATTGGCGAAAGTGAACTAATTTTTGATATTTTCTTCTCAAGGTATTTGTTATGCAGAGTTTGGAGCTCGAGTTCCAAAAGCGGGATCTGCTTATGTGTATAGTTATGTCTGTATCGGGGAATTTGCTGCCTTTGTCATTGGCTGGAATCTCATCCTGGAATATGTTATCGGAACTGCCAGCGTTTGTAGGGGCATCAGCCTGTACCTGGACTCCTTGCTGAATGACACCCTGAAGACCACTTTCGCTGAGGTGGCCCCCATGAATGTTAGTTTTCTTGGCAGCTACTTTGATTTTTTGGCCTTTGGTTTGGTGGTTGTATTTGGAGGTAAGTTATTGATTTTTAAATATCTAAATTATAAAACATCTAACTTATGATATTTTATTTTCAGTGGCCCTTGCTTTTGGAGTGGAAACCTCAACAATGGCCAATAATTTTGTGACCTGTCTCAATATATTTATTCTGGGATTTGTTATCATAGCTGGTGCTTTGAAAGGTAGGAAGCGTGTTGGTTTTAGTTGAAAATTAAAATAATCAAGCTCCCCTCCCAATTTCCCTAGCTGACCTTGCCAACTGGACCGTGGATCCTGCTAGCTTCGCGGAAAACTCAACCTTCGCAAATGTGACCATCGGTGCGGGTGGCTATTTCCCCTTTGGATTTGAGGGAACTCTCCAAGGAGCAGCCACCTGCTTCTTTGGCTTTGTGGGCTTCGATGCCATCGCCACCACCGGGGAGGAGGTTCGAAATCCGCGCAAGAACATCCCGCAGTCCATCCTGCTCTCCCTGCTGATCATATTCCTGTGCTACTTTGGAGTGTCCACTGTACTGACCCTGATGCTTCCGTACTACCTGCAAGATGCCAACGCACCGCTTCCCTACGCCTTCGAATATGTGGGATGGACGGTGCCCATGTGGATAGTTACGGTGGGTGGACTGGTGGGTCTGATGGCCAGCCTTTTTGGAGCCCTCTTTCCCCTGCCAAGGGTTATGTATTCGATGGCTCAGGACGGTCTTCTATTCCGGTTTCTGGGCAAAGTGAGTCCACGGTTTCGAGTGCCAGTCACGGGGTCCATTGTGGCTGCTCTCTTCACGGCCACCATTGCAGGACTCTTCGATTTGGCCCAATTGGTTAGCCTTCTTTCTATTGGCACCCTCTTGGCCTATAGCGTGGTGGCCATATCGATAATGCTACTAAGATACATGGACTATTGCGAGCCGGAGAACAATCGGGGCCAGAAGGAGGGTCAAGCTACGGAGACAACCTCATTGACCTCGCGGACGGATAGATTTACTTGCGGCTCTGTGTGTAAACAGCTTTTTAATGTTCACGGAATTCGGGAGCCAAACGCCATTTCCTCTAGGATTGTGGGAGTCTTGGCTACCTTGTTTTGTAAGAATAGTTTACTATATAAACTAAAGATAAATCTTGACTTATTATTAATACTTTTCAGGTCTTTTATCCTTGGGTCTGGGTGTTCTGATAATGCAAGAACATCACTCCATCGCCTCCGAGGAGCCCTGGGTCCTGGCTGTCCTTGTCATATTAATTTTCCTAATTTTTCTGGTAATCCTGCTGATTTGTCTTCAGCCCAGAGAGGTTAGAAGTCGACTCTTCCGAGTGCCCTTCGTGCCGGTCGTTCCAGCCATCAGTATTTTCATAAATATCTACCTGATGCTGCAGCTGGATACATGGACGTGGATACGCTTCGGTATATGGATGATTGTTGGTGAGTTCTTTTAGCTTTTGTCATAGAATTGCATGTGGTAGAGACTAATGCATGTTGTAATCTCGCACTAACTTCAACTAACCTAGGTATACCCATATTCCTTGCATGCTGGTATCTGTACGATTGTAAGAATCCCCAAAAAAGAAACCCCGAGAGGGTGACCTACTACAAAGTCCTGAAGGGAATGGAGGTTATTTCGGATAAAGACAACAATTGTCTGTCCCAGGAGAGTGTTTTGACCTTGGCCACTCAACTAAAGAAGAGTCCGAGCAGCAGCGTGGACCAAATACAAAATCTGAGCGATGTGGGTGATGATTTAATCGAAGTAAAGCACGCCAATGGAAAGGTGTTCTACGTGGAGGATACCAGGAGCGAAAATTCCACAGCCACCCTGGGCGACAATGGGTCTCCGTCGCGGGAGGACGAACAGTCGGTGATTGCCATGTTGGACGATGTCCTGGACGCGGTGGAAACCCAACAAAGTCAGCTGGAACTGGAGCAGCTGAAGCAACAGCAGATGATTTTCGGGAGGCACTTCAGCATGGATTCCGAGATGTATCCGAGTGTCATTGAAACGGTGATAGTGGCCACGGTTCACAGCAGCAGCGACGACGACGAAACCAAGAGCCTGGCCTCCCTGCAGCCAAACAAATACGAGGAATGCAAGCAAGTGGCCCAGAAAATGCTCGAGGAAATGTTTAATAGTGAAGTGTTCTACGAGCAGCTCGAAAGGGTCTATGAGGCTAAGAATGCAAAGGCCCCAGAGCTTATGGAACCTATTAAAGAACCTGAGACCGCTCCCATAATTAAGCCTCCACTGCAGCGCCTGGAATCCCAGACGTCATTGAAATCCCAGGTCTCGGAAATTGAGGATCCGCTGCATTCGGCCAAGTTTAAAGACCGCTTAAGCCACATCATTATGAATGCCAATGCCCACAAGGTGAAAACGCCTGTAAAGGATGGGAACGGAAACAAGGTGGAGGATGAGGAGGAGGAGCCCGAACTCCTGCCAGAGGCAAGGCCGCAGCTGAAGCAATCGAAAAGCGAGACCGATGTACGCCGCTTAATGCTCAAGGCCATCAGCGAACTGAAAATCGGCCATAATGAGGCTGGCAATGGTGATGAGGTCGCCACAGGAATATCCGCCACAGAAGCCCCTCTGAAATCTCCATCTGTGCCAGTGGCAGATGCACTTGCCAGTGCCAACAACATACCGCGTCCACCGAAATTCGATCCGGTACTGTACAAGACCATCAACAGCATTAGTTTGCGCAAACAGCGACCCACTTTGAATCAGCAGCAAAGTCAAAACCATATCGTGGATACCAGGAACCCGGCCCTCCTGCCACCGGAATCGAATCCGGAATCGGAATTGGAGACAAGAACGGAACCGGAGTCGCTGGAGCCGTTGCCATTCCGGGCGAAATTGGAGGCCATATTGCAGCGTGGTCCCTCGCACCGAACCCAACAACATCCGGACCTGGTGCGTCGCCATCGTCCGCAGTCCACTTATATAGAAATGGAAGCGGAAAGCGCTAGCTGAGGGTGCTCACCCCGCCTCCATCATTTTCCCTCATTTGAAACCAAAGAGGTTGCCATTCTCTCCCCCAGTTAAGAGTAGTTGGGCTTGCATGCGCCCCGGAATGCAAATGTAGTTTGAATTGTACATATCTAGCATAGCAGTAGTTACTAGTTTCTAGTAGTTAGTAGTCAGTGTGGAATCCAAGCAATTCTAGATTATAAGCACCAGGTGGATGGGGGGAGTTGGTTGATTAGAAGTGTGCCAGAACAAGGTGGCTTCACAGGAATTACATTCAATGGACTGCCCGAAAAAGGGAACCAGATACTTGGCAAGTGTGTAGCTTCAAAACATAAATTTTGTTGGCTTGGAGTATTTTTCACCACATATGTATGTATCTGAAATTATTACCTATCATCTGTAAAGCTTTAATAGAAATGCCATAAATTTGAGAGAGTTTAATGGGCCAAACATTAATTCTCTTTTAAGCCAAACACTATATTTGCTTTACAATTTCATAGAAACTTTTCTTCGGCAACCTTAACAACAATCCCCCTTAATTAATGTGCATGCTTAGCTAACTAGTCGCAAAAGTATTTAATTAAATGGCATTAAACATGTCAAAACCTAGTGCATGCCTGAGATACCTACATATAAGTATGCTAATCGGTTCTATGTATACAGGACTTTCTATATACTTTTTCTACGGACTGCCCAACAGCTACAGGGAACTGAAGCGCCAAAGGGCTGGCTGGCAGAAGCTCAAATATAGCGATCGGCTCTGATTGAGAAATTTTGATAATTATACAAGACATATCTATATAAATGTATATATACACGAATGCATCACTAAGCCAAGTTGATAAATTGTGAACAATTTGTTGGTTATAAATAAAAATCTAGTTGTAATTAATAAAAGTCAAATGAGTGTTTACCTGAAAGGGAAGAATGGAAAGAAAAGAAATGTTGAGAGCAACTGCAGCCGCTTCCGGAATCGATTCCCAAATGATCTTCTCCGGAGTGTGCTGTATTAATAACCCAATGAATGGGGATCGTTCATTGTCGTTTAATTCCCAGTGGCCTTGTCTCGAAGACTGTTCTTCTTCGGCTGCACTGACTTTGATAAATTAATTGGTATCGGCTGATCGTTGAGGAGAGTGTGTGTGTTACTCATTTAGGGAGTGTGTTTCCCCTTTCGGATATTACAAGTTTTCCTTGGTGAATCCACTTTCCAACAATATGTATACACTGTAAAATATATACAGATGTTTAAATTTAAGTGTTTAAAAAATATATAAAATATAAAATAACTACAAACTACAAAGACTATGAAAGAGTCACTATTTTCTCTAATAATCTTCCTGTTAAAATTCCTGAAAAAATAGATATGCTATATATAAAAATATATAATTATTCACAGTGTATCCTTCCCCTTTACTTTGATTTTGATTAGAGGGAAACATCCCCTTGGGCTTCCCCCTTTTTCCCCCTCGATTCAAACTATGCTCTGATTTATGCGGACATTCGTTTGGGCATTTCTTTGGTCAGGTTGCTGCTGATGGTTCTGCTTTGGGTTGTGATGCCAGTCTGGAGATTTGTGTAACCACAAGACGAAGACGAAACAACTGGCGACTGTTTGGCGTCCCATCTCCTCGAAGGAGATGGACTGTTCCCGGGTATCTGGCTGGGGTGGCTGACGACTTTTGTGCTGCGTAAGTGTAACAAATTGTAATCGTATTTGGCGGGGACTCTGTCTGGGGCGCACAGTGGTCCGGCTTGTATGAAGAGAGCGGCCAAAAATACTTCTAGTTGAGGTAGGGACTGGAAACTTGGCACAAAATATTTATATTTTTATTCTAAAATAATATATTAAAATCAGCCAGATCGGGCAACTATATCATATAGCTGCCATATAACTGATTGATCGAAAATGCAATAACTTGGGTGTTTTTACAGTTAGAGAGTTGCATTTTTGTAAGAATGCTATATTTGACAAAATAACACGACCTACCAAATTTCATAAGGATCAGCCGACTATATCTTATAGCTGCCATATAACTGATTGATCGGAAATGATATTACTTCGGTGTTTTTAAAGCTAGAGAATTCTGATTTGGTACGAATGCTCTTCTTGGGAAAATAATTCAACATGCCAAATTTCATAAGGATCAGCCGACTATATCTATAGCTGCCATATAACTGAAAAAACGGAAATTACCCAACTTTCATGTTAAGATGGTGTTAGTATTTTTACGATATTAGACACATAGGCAAATTTTGGCAAAAAATTTTTGCACATTTGTTACCCTTGGAGACCGACAAACACATTGGTATATAAACGAATTGTAGAATTTTGTGGGATCACTACTAAAACTTCAGCTAAACATGAAAAATACGTTCAAAATATAGGAAAAAAACATGCATTAGTTCATAGTAATATAATAATAACAATAATTATTATAAATATATCAAATTATATCTCATTTTATAGAAAATACCTTCAACTTCAAAATCCATTACAAATAATTTGAATTTGAACACGTAAATAATGATCTGACCACTTCAAAGTGCGGTATAGTTGTGAAATATTCGTGATGCGCGCAGCCGCGCTTTACAAATGAGCATCTTCAAATCATTTTTTAGAAAATCCAGTTAGATTTTTAGACAAATCGGGTTTGTCATGAAGAAGCTTGGACATTTTAGAGGCGATTTGTTTACTTTTCGATTATTTTTGTCGTTATCAATTTTTTTATTTTTGGCCTATGGGAGCAACCACTGTGGGGCGTGCCCCTGACTTCTCCGCCTCAGCTTTATTATTATTAACTTTGTTATGGGCCAGCAGGGAGAGAGGGGCGGGAGTATACAGTCGGTAGTACTATTCAGTAGTCCCAGAAGTCCCAGTTGTCTGGTGGTTGTTTTGGTTGTTCGCTACACTTGCTCGCCGGCTGTCCGCCCCCTTTATCTAGTCGAGCGTTCAAATAGTTTTATGGCATATTTATGGGCGCCAAAACTTAAAGTCCCCCCTTGCTAAGACTTTAAGACACCCGATGGGAGTCGGTCGTGGGAGTTGGTGCGGGTGCGGGTGGGAGTTCAAGATCTCGCCCTCATATCGCCAGAGCATTGACATCGGACTCTGTGACAAATTGGCAACGAGCGAAACTAATTAATGCAGGGGGAATACGACAACTTTGGATATTGCATTCCAGAAAGTGGGACAAGGAGAGCAGAGAAAGATTCTGGTAAATATTCATAAGTTGGAATAAGTTTCCCTAAGAATGATATATTGAATCATTGGGTTTCTCGTTAGTCAGGACAAATATCGTACATTAAAGGGTTTATGCATTGACTGCTTTTGAAATGCATCCTTTTGGAAAAAGTATACTTACATCACAAACCTCTCTTGTGTAAGTGACTAAGCTCTAAACCAGTCTTACTTTCAATTGGTATAGTCTCCTTTCAAATTGGTTTTCGGTTATGTAATCATTGCTCAGCACTAATAACATTTTCCCCTTTTCCAACTCCATGGACTTTGTTTCCTTTATTTTTTTTGTTCCACTCTGGCATGTTTTTGTTTGAAGTCGGTTAGTTTGTTATTATTTTCTCTGCTGTCTAAAGCGGCTTTTCCATATTCATAAAAATTGCGAGTTTTACCATTTCCCTCCGACCATCCACCCCCACAACCCTGGAACCCCTCAAACCGAGACCGACACACTGGCAGCCACATTCGCATTCCGGCAGGACATAATCCTCTTAACTTGGCCGGACAACTCTCAGCGTATTCCGTTCGACTTTGGTGCTGGCTGGCTAGCTGGCTGGCTGGCAAACAGTGTCTCCTTGATTTTCTCGTATTTTGTTTTGCTGAATTGTTTCGAAAATTAAAATATGTGCAGGCCGGGATGGTGTTGAGGGTTTTAGCCAGAAGCGGAAGTTGTCATCATCATTTGTCCGCACGGTGGCAGGTAAAATGTTAAAATGCGGGTGCTGCAGTGGCAGTGACAGTGGCAGGGGCAGTGGCAGGGGCAGTTGCACCTACCACCGGACCGCTACCCAAAGTCAATGGCACTCGACAAAAACATTTTGTCAAAACAACGGAGGCGGCTTGCTACTGTACGCAAAGTGGATCAGTGGATTTGTTCGTTTCGAACGAGCAACACACAAAAAAAAGTAATTCTTGTAGCAACAGCTGCACAAATGCAGGCCCAGAATAGGAAAAAAAAATTGGAAAAAGGATTAGCATTTCGGTTTAGCTGTTTGCTCAATCGGCCATGACAGTCAGCAACGGATATGGTCCTTGTCAAGGTTTTTGGGACGGCACTGGATCCTGGCTTTGCGGTCTGGCCATACATATGTTAAGCAGGCAATTGCATTTGGATGAGATTAACCCATTGAGGAGGTAGGTCGGCCGAGGCAAATGAATTACTCTCTAATGGGATCGGAAAGGTATCCTGCGGTCTTGAGGTCAAGTCGTGGGAGATTAATAAGGAAAGATTAATTTTGCGGCTAGAAAAGGGATTTCCGGTTGCCTTTTTGCTGAGAAGATTTTCTCAAAGACAATTGTAGAGTCCTCTGGTCTTCGGAGAGGGGGAACTCTTAAGAAAATGGATTTTTCTTTTTAAGAATTTTAAGAATTTTTTGTTACTATGCAGATGGTTCGGTTTAATTATGAATTGATTTTTTCAAGGTACTTTGTTACTTTTTAAGCAGATGAGTCCTGGATACTTTTTGGCCAAATTTACTTTGAAGTTCTGTTCTTTTTCTAAGACATTTATATAAAAATTAAGTTTCAAACTATAAAATCATTAACTGCAATCGATGATGAACCTATTGTGTGGTCTCACACCCTCAAGAAAACAAAAATCCATCTTTTCTTTTCCTTATCCTTAAGCACTTACCTGAACCTTCATAAAAAATACATACCTCACAATTCTGAGACACCTTGCCAATTGCTAATCACGATTTTGTTTGAAATTCCATCACAATTCACAGGCTTGATTTCTAAGCATTTTCCTTGAATTTCGCTGCTCCTCCATTAAGAGTCCCAATCCTAGCCGTGACTCTCAAGGCTCCTTATACTTCTCTATTTCAGGGTGCTCCTCATAATTGCTCCTTTGTCATTTGCCACAAGGCACAAAAGGTTCGAGAATGGCCGAGGGAAAATAATACGCTGTTGATTTTCTACTCGACTTCAATTGATTTCTACCAGCAATCCTCTGCCAGTGCCTCTAATTTTTTCTCATTTATCTTGTTTGGTAGAAATGGTTTGTGCTTGTCATAACCTTTCCTACATTATCGTTTTTATATTTTTTTTGAAATCTCCCTTTTCTTGTCTTATTGTCGCTTGTATCCTTGAGCATTGGACAATTTTTAAAGAAGAATAATATTTACCGAGCCACGCACAATGGCAGGACACAAGAGAAGAGGTCTCTGGGACATGGCATTGTTTTCGCATTCAATTCCCTGACAATAAGCATTATTGAGAATCTGAAATGTGGCCAGCCTGCACACGTTCAGTCGCTGGTCCCTGGTCCCATGGCCCCGTCTCCGTCTCTTTCTATTGCCCTCTATCTGTCCCTTTCCAAGTGTGTGAGTGCGCTTAGAATGTTAACCAAGCCAACCAAGCAATTCAAATTCAATTTGCCCCA